TTTGTTTGTTTTTTCATATTTTTTGGTTTTCTCATTTGTCCTTTTTACCTTTTTAAAAGTCAAGAATATTTATAAAATTCACAAAAAAATTATTATTTAGCAAACGTATGTAAATCCTTGAGCATTTTCTAAATGCATGAAAATCGATTTAAAATAAATGAGAGAATTGCTTTTAAATTTGGGCTCATTTTTTGTATACATGTACATCTTTAAATTTGTGAATATTTGCTAAATTCATATACATGTTCAAAATTTCATAATTTATAAAATATGCAAGCATATTTAAAATATGAAAAATTATAAGTTTATGGTTTAGAAAGTATTTGTGAACATTGTTTGCATTCATAGATTTTCAAGTTCGAGAACATTTCTTTAATGTAAGATTTTTTTTAACTCATGAACATTTTTTCAGATCTTGGGAATAAAAAGAACATATAAAACATGAGAAAATGATTTGAAAACAGGAAGAAAACTTAAAAACTAAGAGAAGACCATTGGAAAACCGAATGAAGTGAGGAGAATAATACAAGTGCTTGAACTGGGCCAGCCACATAATTCAAGCCCATGTGTTTGGTCGTCAAATTGAGTCATAGAGTGTCATAACCAGGGTGTTTGAAGTGACCTTGGGCCTTGTAGCATCTGCAATAGTCCATATACAAAAGAGGAAACTCGGAAGATTAACATAAAAAGGTAATAAAGAAGAGTCCGAGGACCATGGGCCTTCTTGCCGTCCATTATTTCACTCTTCCTTGTCAGTGGCCTCCTATTGCTCCCACATTTTGTTCCTCGGCCTTCATTTCATGTACTTTAGTTCCTTTTTGCTTCTACTTTCAGTAAGTTACTTTGTATTCATTGGACTTATGCGTCGCTTTTTTCATAGGTGAAAATGGTTTGGCATGGTACTCCCAAATTGCCCGAAATGCATACAAGTCATTGAGCCAGTCGAGGGATGTGTGATTGAGACCAAGTAGCCATCCAAAGCCTTTTTTCAAAACTTCTCAACTTTTATTGATCAACATTAACAAACATATTGGATCCATATGGAGCCATGCAGTTGCCCAATCTTTAGGTGGTAACCATGATCAAGAATACTTAGCAATATTATAAGCTTTGGCATTGGACTCCCACACTTTGAAGGTTACTGAGTTGTAACGTCTGAATGTTCTTTCCCATAGTAAACTTTAGATCAACCATACTAACACCATACATAGAAGCATGTAACATGTTTCCCATCAGCATGGCTGCAGTCCTTGCGACCTGATAAGAAGAAAACATGGAGATATCAACACACACATGTATATTGGCACTCATGTCAATCCACCAATCAGAAGAATGACATATTGAAAGAATCAATAGGAAATTTACCATAATGGTCATGGAGGGATCAACAATCTCGTGCCAACAACACTAAAAAACACATGCAAAGATGGTGTCTGTAGCCTGGAAATCTTGCTCTATTCGGGAGTTAGTGGCCCCTCTGGCTTGCCCTTGGAAGCATGAAAGTAGTTCGTGGTGGTTAACCAAAGAACTACCCTGGCATGCCATCTCTTGTAATTCACACCCTTGGATGTGGGAGGTTTGAGGGTTGCGGCAAAAGCAGGTGGAGAAAACTACCTAAACAAATCAAGTTTTTGGATTGTAGAATATATGAGCTATTTTCCATTAAGTTTAATGCAAAAAAATAACAATAGGCCAATCATGGTAATCATAATAGAAATGATAATTGGTTCCAGTAACAAAGTACCGAAAAAGTCATCCAATTGGGTAAATAAGTGAAAAGCATCATATCAGTGTCTAGTCCAAACACAATCCCTAACGAGAGGGACAAGAACACATACAATGTGGTGAAAGAAGACAAATTTGTGTCGATAGCCATGTCGTCGAAGAGATTGTCGGTGTGATCACGAAACACTTGGCATTGCTCGGTTTGATCACGAAACACGACGTGCGTGCGATGCGAGCAGCGAAGGAGGAGCGTGCATGTATGTGTGCTCTTCTCAACATTTTAATGGTGTGTGAAAACCTATAATACATGTGGGTCAAACACACCATCCATCCAGGTGGGACTAAACTTTTCACAATCCATTGTCAAGCATGAATCTATCTTTGGATCTCAGTGATGTCCTATAAATTATTGGAAATAATAAATGGGAGAAAATCCCAATAATTTCAATTGCTTGTGCAATGGTGTTGGTTCATGTATATACAACCTTACTCACACTGTATGATACAACATAGAAAAATTCTAAGTGGCAAAATCTACCAACATCTATCTTAAGGCATCTCCAACACCGACCCTCAAACTGCTCGTACCCATCCAGACCACGCGAGCCATCCAACGCCGACCCCCATCGGTCGCAG